GGCCAGCTGAGGAGGAAGCGTGAGCGGAGCTGTGAGGCGCTCGCCACAGACCCTGCCGGGCGGCTGCGACTGCCCCGCGCCGCTGTGAGGCGGCCGGCCGCAAACCGCGGCAGAGGCGGGAAGCGCCCCAGGAGGTGATACTCCGTGTGCTGCGATTCTCCTAGCCCCAACACCTGCTGCTCGCCAGGGGATTAGGTGCTAGCACAGAACGCTGTCACAGCCCTCTTTCCTGATGACTTATTCAAATGACTAGGAAAAGTACATCCAGCAGCTGAGCCCAGAAAACTCGAGAGGAAGACACGGCTCTGTAGAAGCGATTGCTATGAGACCTGCAAAAAGAACGAAATCCACAAGTGCAGCATCAGATAGCAAAGGAAGATTTCAGCATGTGTACAAGAGGGCAGAGTGACTGTGTTCCTAAAACAGCTGGTGGTGGCAGCTGGATGGGCAGTTGCATCAGGCAAGCTTGTGATTATTTAAAAAAAAAAAAATATGACTAATCAGCACCTGCAGCACCTCCCTGCACATGGCTGCTGGTGCTCACTGACATCTGTATTACTTTGCCAGGACACTGTGCGTATCCCCAGCTGGGCTCTGTTTGCTCACAGAGGAGCTGTTCCCCTTCCCAACAGATCCTCTCTCTAGGATATTTTTTGTCCGAGTTACAGGGGGAAGAGGGATATGTGTTCTTATTCTGCGCCACTTGGGTGTATCACAGCCAGCTGGCCACCCAGAGGAGAAGTGGCCAACTTGGAGCTGCCACAATGGGCTGCTCGACCATCACTCTATGTAGTGTTGCAAGGCCCAGGATTTCACCGTATGCTACCCAAGCAAATCTTCTGTACGGTCTCCCCAGGCATCCTTACTCACTGGAGGTGCCTGCAGCTGGTGCTGTCCCTTGGTGTGCCCACGCTTGGCAACCCTGAACTACAGTGTCCCATCCAGAAGAACTCTTGGCCTTCTGCGTCCACCACCAGTTTTTCTCATGTCAGAACTTCTGGGCTGCTCTGGAAAGAGGCAGTTCCTGGGACTGCTTGCTCAACACGCACCATTTTGCAGCCCTATCTCCGTAATGATTCTTTCTGGAGCATCTCTCCCCAGACACGCTCTGCTCCATGCTGCGAGCAGCTCTGAGACCCACGTGCATGTCCCCCTGCAAGGCCCTGTGCTGGAAGCGATGCCGGAGCTCGCCAGTAGAGAGGCATGTAAATATGGAAGCGCGTGCCTAATTAATGACCCAAAACCACCTGCAAAGGCCATCCTGTTTATGAAGAGTGAGCTCGAGGCGCACGTGCTGAGTGAGACCTTCCTGCTGCCTATCACAAAGGGCCTGGTGCTGCTCAGGGTGGGAGGCTGGCGGAGGGCAGCTCGCAGCAGGAGCAGTGGTCGTGGTGGGGCTCGTTCGTCAGTGCAGAAGGGCAGTGCGGCCCCTCGCCTGGCTCCTCTGTGGGATGGGTCTGCTCTGCCAGGGAAGCGAGTGGTTCAGGAGCCACGGGAGAACAGGCGCCTTCTGGGCTGGGTTTGAGCTGCGTGATCCTTATGATGTGTATGGTGTTGTGGGCAGCACACCTTTAAAAGCTGAGTATCTGGATGCAAAAGCCGGAAGCTGGATATAAAAATCATATTTCACTATTTTTTTTTCCCATTAAGCTTTTCTCTAGTCTTCCAGAGGCTGCAAATTTGAGATTCTCGTTTAAGGTCAAGACTCTGAGGGTTGAGGCTTTGTGAATCTTACACATTGCTACAAAGCATAAGCAGGCTTGTTAAGGTGGCCATCCTGTAGCACAGGGCATACTGTGGGTGGATGCGAGAGATCCGGCTGTTTTGGGCTACCGTATGTCTTGAGAACTGACACAACTTGGAGAGAAAACAAAGGGCAGGTTTGACACTATGGGGTCCCTTTGCAGGCAGCTCTGAACACTGCTCTTGTTCCAGAGGTGTCGACGAACACACAGAGATGTCTCAAGCAGGAAGACGGCAGTGCTTGCTCAAGTAGGTCGTCTCACGCCTCCTCTCCCACAGCCACGAGGAGAGCACAGCTGCCTGCAGGGAGCTCTCTCCAGCTGTGTGGCTGGAATGACCCTCTTCAGGCTTTCGGCCTCATGTGTCCCTTGTGTTCTGCGTCTCAGCAAAGAGTCCCGGCTCTCGTTTTGTGACATGGTGCCCAGAAGCAGTGTTGTTGGTTGAGTTTAGCTTCAGGTGTGCCGACGGTGTTCAGCCTTCACCAAAGGCAGAGAGCAACTCTGGTGACGTTTCATTACTTAGATGCCAATGGAGCCTCCGTTGGGGGAGATCACAGGGAGCTGCTGATGCCACATCCACAGGAGACCCAAACTCCCTCCAAGATCCAGAGCTCCATCTCCTGCAGAGCGTGCAGGTCACTCCTGCGATGAGCAGAGAGCAGAAGACAGCTCAGCATCTCCTTGACGCCTTCCCTGGTCTTCGGTGACCTCAGAAGAAGCTTTGGTGAGTCTCTTCACCCTTTGGTGAGTCCTCTTCATCAGTCTGTGACTCCGGGTCAGTAGCAGAGCATAGGGCAACTTGTAACGTGTTGAAGGGGTTGATCTTGTTTTTTGTGGCCGTTGCAGTACTCACCCCCGCTTTCCTGGCCTCACGAACATGTCACTGTGCTGTGGTTGTTGTCTTAGGTGCGGACACACGGGCATTCACGTGTTTGCTGAGACCTTTACAGCGCGCACGGCTCAGTGCACGTCAGTCCCCTTGAGCTCAGTTTCCAGGTTATAAATTGCAGCTGTAGATTGCCCTTTTCCCGGGCGGAACAGCACGGTGGCTCCTGCGCCTGCTGTCCCGAGCAGCAGGATTTCCCCCTAGTCCTGCCCCCCCTCAGTCCTGGCCAACTCTCTGTGCTCTCCAGCTCTCAGACCTGCCTCTTCCCACCCCTGCTCCATCTCTCTTGGGTGTCACCAGGTGCTCCGGGACAGGCTTATAGCACGATGTGTGGTACGGGGAGAAAGGCAACAGCGCTCCCTCCATGTCACGGTCATCAGCCCATGTATCCAGCATGGCAGTTAACTGAAAGTTGACTCAACGCGAGGTGCCTCGCGTGAGTGTCATTAAAACCATCTGAAAACGAGCGAGGAAGAGGAAGGCCACGAGTGCAAGGGATCAGGACTGCAGCTGGTGTGGGAGCAATCTGCGTGCTCAGAGCTTCCAGGTACGTCACTGCTGCTCTTTCTCTACTGAAGACGTCTCTGCTGCTGGTGGCTCCTGAGCTGAGTCAAGCTCAGCGACGAGTTTGGAGGGGCCCCAGGACGGTCCCTGGGGCTGGGTAGGGAGCTGTGAGCAGCTCCACCCTGTGTCTGCTGCCTGCTTTCCCTTCCTCTTCCTCGCAGCGGGCTAGCATGGAGCGGCTACCAGCAGGGTTTGGGGGTGGCTGCACAGCAGCAGATGCTTCACAGCAGGGCTGGGACTCGCGTGTCCGGCAGCCCCGGGAGGAAGGG